TCACCATGTATGGGGATCCTGAATGTCCCCTGAGTTGGAGATGGCACCAACTACTCCTTTCCCCATCAAAATGAGCCCCAGAGAGGAAGGATAACAAGCCCCAGAGCAGAGTTGTCTCCTGCCCCAGGGGTGAGGGCCAGCGGAAGGGGGTGCTGCCTCCAGAGAAAAGCTAAAGTGCAGCCAAGGCCCCAAAACCCATAAGTGTGGCCAATAGGTCCCTCCTCAGACTCTCCAGTGACAGGCTACACCTGGTCCCTGATGCTGTTTTTCTCCTGCGATGTGGAGAGGCCACAGGGTACACTTGGGGCCGGGGCCAGGCTGGAGAGTGTGCAGATCTGTCTTTCTGTGTGTGCGTGTGAGAGTGTGTCACACGTGTGCGTGTGAGAGCATGTGCTGTGGTTGTGCATCACCATCCCTGTACCATGATGTTGGGGGGGGGCAGTGTGTATAAGAATGTGCCCTCTAGGGTGACACATCTCTGCTGTGACCCATCACGAGCCTATGTGAGTGTAGCCATGTGTGTGAAGGTGCGAAGCTGTGGGCCCCCAAGGCCATGTACGAAGATGTGGTTGTGTGTCCAGTGAGGGGATCGGGTGTGACTGGTGTGCATGAACAGGCACTGGGAGAGTACTCACACTGACTAGGTGGTCAATGAAAGCATGATGTGCACGGCAGGTCCCAGTAGCTGTCACGGTGCTACGAGGCTCCGCAAACAGGGGTAGGTGAATGATCGTCACCCTCTGACCTCAAGGCTGTTTTGTGATTGCATTTCACCATCTGAGTATGTGTATGATGGTCTGGGTCTGTGGGTCTCGTGGTTATGCTTGTCTGCTTCCTTAGATGTGAATGTGTGGGCTGCGTCCACATTTCTATATATGACTGATCATGCCTGTGTATCTGCGGAGACCACCAGTTTGAGGCTGCGCAGGTTTGCGTGCCCACACAGGTGTGTTTGCGATTAGGTATGAATATTTCTGCAAACAGCTCAGGGTATTTGAATGTTTATTGGGACCAATTCGGACACAGGTCAGAGCAGGTCCAGTTTCTAGAAGCCATTTTATCAGCAGGCTTCCCCACTCCATAATACCCGCTCACCCTGACCCACTCACCCTCCATGGTTGAAAGTTTCAGAGAAGATTCTCCTTACTCACAGTCGATTGATATTTTGGTTTCACATAGAATCCTGGGTTCAAAATCTTTTCTTCCTTCAGAATTTGAAGATATTGCTCGACTGTGTTCTATCGTCTACTGTTGATGCGAAACACTTGAGGGCAGTCTGGTTATCTGGACGTCATGAACCCCTTGTCCCAGGCACTCTTGGGAGGTACAGGGTTTTTCTCTTGATCCTCCATGTTCCAAAACGTCATGATTGGAGTCTAAGTGTTACGGATTCATATTCATTTCAATATAAACTTGTGTGCCTTTAGATTTGGAATTTGTGTTTCTTTGACGTGTTCCTCTTTTCCATCTTGTTTTTGGTTTTTCCCGCCCGTACTTTTCTGAAATATATGTCCATTGGTCAGATCTCTTACCTGTTATTCTGATCTTTCCTTCCAAATTTTCTTCCTTCTCTGGTTCACATCCTGGGCAATATCTTTTGTTCTGTTGTTGCTTAAAATCACAAAATATCAAAGTTGGAAGCAGCCCTGAAGATCACCTGGTCCAGCTCCCTTATTTTACAGATGGGGAAGCTACAGCTCAGAGAGGAAGAAGTTGCGGGAAGGCGAAATGACTTGCCCACAGTCCCACGTGTGTGTAGCAGCAGGGCTGCCTGACTTCACAACCGTGATTTTCCTCAAGGTCAGAAAGACTTGAGCAATCTAGTCACTCTTCATTCTTTTTCTTAGGCAGTGGGGAGATGAACCATTGGTAAAAAGGAACCCCTGGGGTTCCAGGTAAGGAACCAGCCCGGTCGTGGATGCTGCCATGTGAGTCTGCAGAGGGAGCCCCACTCATCTTACTGGGACTGGTGACAAGTCCTGGTCAGTGGTTGCCTTTCTTTGTGCTAATCTTGGTCCTGTATGTGGCAGGCATCCTGAGTAATGGACTCACTGTGGCCACCATCTGGCCAGTCCAGCCCTTCATGCACCCATTACTTCCTCCTGGCCCATCTGTCCTTTGCTGGCCTCTGCTTTACCTCTATCACTGTTCCAAGATATTGACCAATTCGTTGGGTCACGCCTGCTCTACCTCCCTGGCTGGCTGCCTCACCCAGATGTACTTCTTTTTTGCCCTGGGTGTAACTGATGGCTGTCTTCTGGCTGCCATCACCAATGACCACTACGTGGCCATCCAGCACCCCCTCCACTATGTGCACAGCCCTGGTGGGGACTGCATGGCTGGTGTCCCACGTTCACTCCCTTATGCATGTCCTACATGTGGCCCACCTATCCTTCTGTGCCTTCCATCAAATGCTCCGCTTCTTCTGTGACCACCAGCCTCTCTTAAGGCTCTCACACTCTGACACCTGCCACATCCAGCTGCTCATCTTCACCGAGGGCGCTGCAGTGGTAGTCCCACCCTTCCTGCCCATTCTGGCCTCCTATGGGGGCCATCGCAGCTGTGCTGCTCCGGCTGCCCTCAGCCTCTGGGAGGCTCCGGGCTATCTCCACTTGTGGCTCCCACCTGACCTTGGTGGGCCTCTTCTATGGGGCAGTCATTATAGTATACTTACAACCCACATCCTGGTATGAAGCAGAGCAGGGTCATGTGGCCACTGTCATGGACGCTGTCGTCACGCTCATGCTAAACCCTGTCATCTACAGCCTCCTGAATTATGATGTTCAGGGAGCACTCCGAGCCCTTTCTACTGGGCGAAGCATTTTGGCTGGTGACTCCTGAGGCCTGGACAGACTGCGTCACCCACAGTGACAATTCGTGAATGTGAGCACCGGTTCTGTGTTTTTTCCAAAATCATAACAGTAGCTCTCACTTTCTGAGCACCGACCACGAAGCAGATATTTGCCCGATCTTATTTTATTCCCACAACCAGGTAAGCAGACCTCATGACCCAGTTTTAGAGGCAAAGAAACTGGGGTTCGAAGAGAAGAACTGACTGTCCCAAGTTTACATAGTTCTTGGGTGGCAAAACCTGGGCCTTTCCTGTCATATCATGTCCTCTTCCAACAGTCACACCAGGCATTTAAGGAACATTCTACCACTTTCTGAGGACTTAAAGCTTCTACGGGAGATTGTGCAACCCCCAGGTCCTGCTTCCTGGGGACTGACCTTTTATTTCTTGTCACATCACCATGTATTCTCACATAAATTGACTTCTCCACTGTCTGGGACAGGGACAAAAGTTCACATACCCATGTGTCAAGGGCTGACTTCTCCCAAGAACCCAGTTTGTCACTCTGGACATCTGAGATAAATAAATGATAGTATTTTTATGCTAATAAGCACTTAGAAGTTGTCCATTTTTCTAATGCTTTGGTTTTGTACGTATTTGCTACGATGCCACCTGTTCGGCTACAGCTGCCATTCTGTAGAAGGAACACACGGTGGGCACTGTAAGTAAATTAACTGAACCAAATAAAGCAAAGCAGAGAAGTGGAGAGGGGAGCATAGGCATTAGGGGCAGACGGGAGAGGTGTTTTTTAAGTTGTATCATATGACAGCACTTCACTTATTTTTACCCACAAAAAGCATGGGTGTTTTTATTGCCAATTTATGAATGAGGAACTTGAGGCTCAAATGGTGAGTTAGTTGGTATCAGAACCAGAGTAAGCCCTTTTGCTACCGAAGTCATATTTTAACTGGGCCCCTTAGAATCCAGTCCCGGGTTTGGGGGTCTCAGTGGAAGAACTCACAAGAAGAAATCCCAGACTCGGACAGGTGCACTAGCTCAGGTGAGGACACATTTGGGGGTCTGAAAGGCCTTCACAATGTGCCCAAATTTTTACCAAACAGGTTTATGAGGTAGAAGCTTTTAGGTCCCTGTATCTGCAAGAAATTTGCACCCACTTCCTCAACCCACCTCTTCTCCCCTCCGGCTTCCAGCGGGCCTAGAGCGGGGTTAGCCACGGACCTTTGCAGCTCCCAGTGGTTGAGCCTGCCACCACCTGGACCTAGAATGGCCATACTATGCTGTTTAGATCTAAAAGAAACTTAAAGGGCTTTAGACTAGTAGCTTTAACAAAAAACAAACAAACCAACAAACTCCTTTTTTTCCTAACAAAATCTTGCACAGATACATAATACATAAAACAGAAGAAAACAAGCAGTACAGGGCAGGCGAGATGAGGGCCAAAGGCCTGGAGCCCACCTTCTCAGCCTCCCCAGTGCTTGTTCCCCACAGCTCAGGGGGGCCCTGATCGAATCCAACCCCCTCGATTGATAAATTGGGAAAATGAGGCCCAGAGTGGTTAAGGGACCTGCCCAGGTTCACAGTCAATGGCGACCTTCAGGTTTCCTTGCTCGGCCCTCCAGGGCCCCCTAGTTTGGCCTGTTGGTGACACTGAGACCGTCCTTTCCTGGTCCCCCTTCCTCCCACCTCCAAGCCCCGGTTATCTGCTCATGCTGTGATGCCAGATCCTTGCTACTCTACTAGTAGCTTGTCTCCTGCCCCATACCACACCCTGTCCCTTCTCTAAAGTTTCACAAACATACTGGTCAGGATGCTCATCAACCATGCCATATTTGTACCATCAGCCATATCCTATGGCACAGGGTGTGTCATCTGCTCAGGGAGGGACCTTGCCTGAGTTTTCTCTGTGTCTCTAGAACCTGCCGCAGAGAATATGAGTGTGATATGCTGTTACTTTGTCTATCCTCTGGTCTCCTTCCAGGTAATGTTTCTGTATATGGGAAGAGGGGCACACTGGGGCTCGGGGAATTGTCAGTGCTCCCTTCTTCTGCGCCTCCAGCCTTGACCTGGTCCTCTCATTCAAACTCAGCCCAAAAAACAGCCCACATCCCTGTAGGACACAGCTAACTCTCTCTGGTCCTCACCACCCACATTGTAGAATAGCTTAGCTTCTATCTTTGGCCTCCGACCAAGGCATGCATGCTGTGTCTGCCTGAGCACAGTCAGTGCCTTCTACAGGATGATCATGACCAGCATCACAAGCGCTATCAGGTCTCACAACGGTCCAGTGAGAAATCCCGATTTTGAATGTGGGAAAACAGAGCCTCAGAGAAGTGAGGAGTCTTGTCCTAATTTGTTCTCCCAGCCAACTGAAGGCCCAGCCCTTCTGACTCTCCTCTGTCATGCGCTGCCCACCATATCACAAAACATCATCCATTTCACGTTAATAAATATTTACTGACCATCTGCTACGTGCCAGGCACCAGGTTAGATGATGCCTGATCTACTTCCAGACACCCTAGGACAGGTAGGGGACTGGTGGGCACGTTAACAGCCTCTGTCACCAGGCCCATGGGCCCCATTCCCACCCCACCCCCACCTAGATCTGGCCTGAAGTTTTACTTCAGGGAGTCCTAGAAGAGCGCATTGACCTGGAGAGATGAGGATAAATCCTTCCACTATTCCCAGAAAGACCACTAAATAGCCTTTCACAAATCCCTTAAAGACTTTCCCCCTGGATCTTTTTCATGTAAAATAGGAAGAGACCGATTTTTAACACCTTAAGCAAAACAAGTGTGTGCAAATGACCCATTGGTTGGGAGCAGTTCCCCTGGAAGAGCTCATCTTTGTCCCCCGCAAGGCTGCTGCAGTTCAGGGACATTTTAGTCCATCTTCAGAAGGTTTCGAAGCTGCACAAGGACACTGCTTCTTCTCACCCACCATATTCCCTGATTTTGTCCCAAAATGATTTCTGATCATTTCAGAATCAACCTAGCCCACCCTCCCAGCATCGATATTGTCAACTCCTCTGTTTATTTCAAATAATATGTAGCACTAGGTGCCACCTAATCCAGAAAAAATAAATTGAACTTTAAGAAAGTAGTGTGAGTCTGCTAAGCAGGGTCAGGCCTGGTTAGTACTTGGATGGGAGACCACCTCGGAAGACCAGGTGCTGTAGGCGTAAAAAATAAAAAATAAGGGATTGTAAGCTGACAAGGTCCTTGTAATCTGAGGTCAACCAAGGGTTGCCTCGCCTAAAAAAAAAAGAAAAAGAAAAAATGCCACTGCACCCTCGTTTGCTAATGTAATCTTATGCATTATAGAGTAAGGTCACCTTTATTTCAAAAGCACGGCAACCGGAGAGATCTTAGCAGTGAAAGGGGCACGGATCATAAATGGCAAATCGATTACTCTTTCTAAGGATACAAAGAAAATTTCTATCGCCTAAGGATACAAAGAAAATTTCTATTGCCTAAGTCTTCCTTCATGCAAGGGCTGCCACAGGGAAAATGCAGTCATTAGACATGAAAGATAAAACCAGAAAGACTCTTTCTCAATGCGAAAACGACTGCTTTAAAATACTAGGAATGGATCAATCTTCCAAGAAGCTGATAATACAGTTTAGCTCACTCTGAGCCATGGATACTTCCCTGACCCGCCCTATTTGCCTCTCTTTGGCCCCATCTCCTCTACTCCCATTGCCCTTCTGTGTCTGTCCCATTTTCTCTTTGTCACTTGTGTGCTTACTTCTTTTTTCTTTCTTTTTTTTTTTTTTTCCCTGCCCTCTACCCTCTTCTCTTACTATTACACACTGGGCGAGGACTAGAGACACAGCCCCGCCCTCACACACACAACAAGAGCGCAGCTTATGATCCGAGCCAGGAGAGGGGTCTAGAGGGCTTTAGAAGCACCAAAGAGGGAGCAATGACTTGAGATTAGGCATGAAGAGAGAGCTGAGGAAACTCACGGAGGAGTCTGGTGGATTGCATTCACGGCCCCAGTTCCCCCATCCCTGAATCTTTGCTCATAACTTGGCCCTCCACTCGCGACTTTGGATTCAGCCATGCAACTTGCTTCGGCCAACGGCATATTCGAGAGCATGAAAAAAAGCCGTGCTAGTGGGCTTTTTCCCTCGTGATTCCTTCATTGCCACAAGAAGGGTGGCCCAGCTAGCCCCGTGGCCCAAAGAGGAGCGTGAGAGACACACACACAGAGCGGAGCTGCTCCAGTCGAGGTGACTCAGGCCTAAGTCCAGCATAGGGCAGAGGCCCTAGCTGACCTGCAGAAGCAAGAGCAGCCCAGCCTAGATCAGCCAGGCCCCAGCCGACCTACCGACAGGCAAGAAAAATAAATGATTCATGCTTTCAGCCACTGAGTTGTGGGTGATGTTACACAGTAATAGCACATTGATCACTATTTCTGATATTAGCCTTTCTCCAACGTAGCCTGTCCCTGCCAATTTAGAGTCCTGAGAACTGATCTACCAAGGCATACTTGCTTTCTCTGTTTGCTTTCGGAGAGTGATATTCTTGTTTTGAGCCTCGTGAGTTTCTGCCCTCAAGCCTCTGCCAATCTACCAAGTATTCTTTGAGGGTGAGTCATATTTTTCCATTGGACTAGTAATAGTCGTCATGGCTCTGCCTGTCAGATTTCATAACCAGATCCATTCTCTCTTTGTAGAGAGGCGAGTTCGTCTATTGGTTGCCTTTTTTGGAGACGCTGTCATCTCCCCCACACTCAAATTCACGGGGAACCTTTTCAGTGCCTCTCTTGTGAGAAGGGAGATTGAAATTGGCAAAGGCAAAGGCAAAAAAAAAAAAAGAAAGAAATTGGCAAAGGCTGGAAGAATGAGGTGAGCAAAGCTAATCACATAGCCCTCTGTTTTGCAAGGAGCCAGATCCTACACCTACAGAGACACCACCACCCCACCCCTTCTTCCCTTCAGAGCCACAAAACAACTGACAGCTGGTAAATCCTGACCAAGACATTCACCACGCACATCAAGAAATCAAGTAACCACGGACCTCAGAAA